CCCCCCCCCCCCCCCCCCCCCCCCCCCCCTCCCCCGACCCCGTTTCTCCTTTTGCGGCCGTCATATTGACGAGGTCCAGACGCCGTACTGAGTTAAAACGTATATGACATAATGGACCGAAACGTCTTACCTCACTTCTTATTTCCTATTCTTACTCTGACTTCCAGGGTTAACCTGAACTCTATGAATGACTTGTCATATTCTTATACGGGCACCTCTGCTAGTCCAATAAAACAGATTTTACTCTCTCTTTTACGCTAATTAGAAGTACAACTCACGAGGAGATATGTTCTGCTGAGCTTTACTACTGGAATGCTGGATTAACTGTGCGCAGAACATTGTCCTCTCTTCATAGACTGGATGTCTTACCGCTTAAAGTAGCGCCCGTGTAAATGGAGCAAAAATCAAAAATGCCATCAAAGATTGGACAATCTTCGCCAATGTTGTACTGCGAAAAGACGCTTTCGAACTGATCTGCGGTACGCGGTGAAACACGCTGCAGAAAATCCACATAATCCCTAGAAATATTCTGTACAAATATGCTGTAACTGAACGAGGGAAAAAACTGTTTTTATTAAAACCATGAACAAATAAGCAACACAAATTCCCCAGAAATTCGGAGAGCGACGTTTTCTGCCTAACTGCAAGGAGTTTTTTAAAATTCTACTGGCATATTTTAGTCGAAAAAATTTGTGCTGAAGTCACTGTCACAGCAGAAATTGCATTAAACAAACCAGAAATACCACAACGCATGCAGTCTGATCATCTCCCGACCGTGTGGTTGCGCGGCAGAAGCTTAGCCCCAGGTCCAATTCTTTGCGCAGCTCTCCCCAAACAAATGATTGTTTTTTCTAAAAAAAGCCAAAAAAGGCGTCAATGACTTTTCCCCGACCATAGCTGCAACAAATCCTCTGCACGCAGTGAATCCGACATGTCAACTCACTTGGAATGAAAGCGTTCGATTTCTGTTGCGGAAGCGCGTGGTGGCGAAAGGACCAGCATCTCTTTGTGCAGACCATAATTGACGACCAGACTGTGCAGGGCAGCCAGTCGTTGCGGTTTCATCGGATGCCTGGGCCCGTAGTGGAAGTTATGCATATCATGATGGAAATAGTAGCACACCCTTCGTTTCGATGTCATCGATCACTCCTCAGCACCCCTGAAACCTTGCCACTTCAAAATTGTGTAAAATACGCACCGCCTCCCGGTAATATGTGAAATTCCCCGTGCGTGAAGTCCGATGAATCTCTTTAGACAGAATGCCAATAAAAATTTGATAATTAAAGAATCTCTCTCCTATCTTTCTCTTCTTCTCTCTTTCTGCCTTCCATTCTTTTTCCAATCATCTCTGAACACCGTGACCGTCATACTGACGAGGTCCAGTTGCGGTGTTGAGCTAAGACGTATA